CCCCAAAACCCCAAAACCCCAAAACCCCTGGTGTCAGAATATACTATCAAAGTAGGGTAATCGATAAGATAAATATAGTAAATTCAAATAACTTCACTCAAATTAAAATTAAATTTAAATATGAATAGTTCTTAATTCGCACTTGAAGATGATTCGCATCAAGAACCTCTCACGTATGAATAGAATAATTCCCCTATAGTTAAAAGCCATTAATAAAGCCCTTAGAAAAATATGAATTCAGGAAACATATAAGGAAGTTTGCACTCTGATGAAAATGAAGAATTGGAAGTTCAAAAACCACTATTCGATCCTAATTCGGGAGTAAACAATGAAAACATCAACATATCAAATTCTAATAATCTCAAGAGTTCATCTAAATTAGGACTTGCATACTCAGAAAATAAAGAAAATACTGATTTGACTTAATAATATAACATTCCTAATATGATGAGCGTATCTTCAGGAATAAAGAAATCTAGTTCTCAAATTGATATTATGAACACAAGCATTGGAAACGCATAGAATGATTCAAATGTGCAGTACGAGCAGGAAAACTTCGATGATGGGGATAGCAACGGTAATTAGAGCATGTATGATAATCTCACATAAAATACTGAATAAAAGTAGGATTTAAACTCATAAAATGTTTCTCAAGCTGATAGCAAAAAGAAAAAGGGATAATAAAAACGATCAATGAGTAAAGATGTGAAAATATTGTAAACTATGAAAGCATATTTTCCTTAGCTAGCCTAAGCAGAACCTAAAAAAGTTATACAGCATATTTAACCCAATCCAACTTTAAACAAAATTTATGGATAGAGATCAAATACAACCAACTAAGGTAAAAGTATTGGCCAACATTCAGAGAGGATAATATTTGTAGAGAATAGGAGAAGAGCTGGTAATCAAGATTAGACTATTGATTATAAAAATAAATAATAGTCTATTGAAAGAAGAAATTCCCAAATCAACAACAGCACTACCACGATCGTATAATCATAGAATACAGTTGCAAGTAAAAATGCAGATCAATTAAGAAAAAATACTCAGCTTCCCCCTATTGGTAAAAGATCTTAAGTCTAGGTGCTGGATCAATAAAGTGCTTATAATATATCTCCAAGAAATAACAATACTTTAAACAAAATCTTGTCGCCTTTATCCACAAATCAGTAATTTAGTAATACTGATACTAACTCACAATAACATTGGTCTGATAAGAAAAAATATCCTAAAAAGCTTCTTCAAACTACCACTATGAACGAGTATGAAATATAGATGGTGAATGGAATTATTCTGGAGGGTACAACAGAAGAATAGTAAAGATTGCAATAATAAAAAATAGACTATGAAAGAAAAAATTAAGAGATGATCTAACGAATGCAAGAAAAGAAAAATCAGGAGATGAAGATGATTGAAGAAGAGAGAAGGAAACTTTAGAAAAGATAAGAAAAACTAAAAAACATGATCTTAAAGCAGGCAGCTGATGTAAGGGAAAAGAAATTAAGGTAAGAAGAAGAAGCCAAAAGAAGATAACAAGATGAATAAAATTAATAGCCAACTAAGAAAACACCAAAGAAGAAACCTTATATACCATAACCAAGCTCATATTAGTTACAAGCTCAAAAGCAATAGATGGAAATGAAGGAGGAGAATGAAGACTTAGGAGAAGAGGAAGAGAAAAAGAAGATGGATATGCTTAAAAAATATTATAGGTCAAGATATGCCACATTTTTGAAGACGATTCAGGAGAAGAATAAGAAGAGAGATGAGGAAATGGAACAGCAACGAAAGAAAGACGAAAAGAGAAAGGCAAAACTATAAGAGGAACTTGGAATTCAAAAAATTCAATCCAGATTCATGGATGATGCTATCAAGATAAACAAAGAGGCTAATGAAAAAGTTGTCATTGAGCACATTCAAAATAAGAAATAGAAGATTGATGATAAGCCCAGAAGAGGTAATAGCATTATTGGAATCAAGAGTATGACAAGCACTTCCAATTTCAATCAGACAGGAATATCCAATAATGATAGTGTCTCAGATATTTAAAAGATTTACGTGCCAGACAGCTAAAAGAGAAATAGAAGCAACTCTAGGTCAGAGAAAAGAGCTCTTACTCCTAAAGTTAAAAAATCTAAGAGAGTTATTGTAATGCCAATTGATGAGAAAACTGAAGAAGACTTTGAAAAAGAGATGAAAGCCAAGAAAGATGCAGCTGAAAAAATTAAGATGAGATAGCAAAAGTATCTTCAGGATTTGGCTGAAAGAAAGGAAAAAGAAACTCAGAAAGTAGAAGAAGAAAAAAAGAAAAAGGAAAAGCTCATGATATTAGCAAGAGAATAAGCCAAGCATAACTTCGACAAGGTGAATTAACAACCAGGACTTAAAGAGCTACAGGAATAATAAATTCAAAAAAAATAATCAAGCGAGGATGATGAAGATGGGGAAGATACAGAAAAAAAGAAAAAGAAAAAAAAGAAGGCAGTAAAGGCTGAAGGTTAGTTAGATTCTTTCCTTGAGAGAAACAATCCTAAAAAAGTTATATTTCCAAATATTACAGATCTTGCAACTTGGAAGAAAAAGTATAAAGTTGAAGATAACACTAAAGTTTTTATTTGTACTGGTGGCTATCCTGATATTAAAAAAGCATTAAAGAAAAGAGGCTGGGTTGAAAATAAAGATTCATCATCTCCATGCTTCGATTTAAAATGGGTTCTTAAGTCAAAAGATATTGATCACAATACTCTTAACGATACTTAGCTAGTTAATCATTTCAATAAGGCAACTGCAATTACAACTAAAGTAGGTTTATGTCATAACTTAAAAAATCTAATTTGGTTCAATAACGTTGACATTGACACTTTTTATCCAAGATGCTTTGATTTAGCTATGTAAGAAGATTGTGATGACTTCATTGAAGAATTTAAGGGAGTCAAAGCTGAATCCTACTTGAAATAATGGGTGAGAGAAATGAGAGAATCAATGGGAGAGAAGCCATCTACTGTAACTGATAAAATACTTAAAGTCGCTCTTAAAGTTTGTGAGAAAAGATTAAGAGAACTTGATGATCTGATAGATGATCCAAATGCTTTCAACTCTTTGGTTACTGACGAGGAATGGTCTATTCTTGGTGCTGATGAACTTAATGTTGAGACATTAGCCAAGTAGAAGCATGATAACTGGTTGGCTAAAAATGAAGTAATGTAGTAAGAGAAAAAGAGGAAGGAAGCCAAGGATGCAAAAGATTAAGAAAAAAAGAAGAAGAAAAAGAAGAAGAAGGTAAAGAAGGTTGAATAAAAAGATGGAGAAGGGAATCCAGATGAAGATTACGAAAATGATGAAGATGTTGAAGGATGGAATAAAAAACCAAATGAGGATGATGAAGATATCATTGATGATGAAGAGGATGAAAAAGCAAAAGTTGAGTAAGATATCGATCTTTAACTTGTGAGTAAGCATCCTGAATACAAGAGGGCTATTAAGATTTTAGAAGGGCTGAAAGCGAAGTACCCTTAGTATAGCCTTAATGGTGAAAAAAATATTTGGATAGTAAAGCCAGCAGGCTCCTCAAGAGGTAGAGGAATTGCTTTATATAATTAATTGATTGAGATTCTTGACCTTTGCAAATAAAAGGAGTCATAATATATAGCTCAGAAATATATAGAAAATTCTCTGATTGTAAAATGCAGAAAATTCGATATAAGATAATGGGTACTTGTAACAGATTGGAATCCTTTAACTGTTTGGGTCTATTAAGAACCATATTTTAGATTTCCTGCTTCAGACTACACTGATGAAAATATTATGGATAGGTTCATTCATTTGACTAACAACTCAGTAGCTAAGTACGCAGAGAAGGCTAAAGTTACCCATGAAATAGAAGGAAATATGTGGTGCTGGGAAGAAATGAAAAATTATCTTTAAGAAGAATTTGGATGGGATGTTTGGGAGGATAAATTAAAAGAACAAACAAATAATATAATCATAAACTGTCTCGAGAGTGTTTAAGACATGTTTGAATGTAAACCAGGCTGCTTCGAGCTTTTTGGCTTCGATTTAATGGTAGATGATGAGTTTAATATGTGGTTAATTGAGGTAAACTCATCACCAGCAATGGATTATTCAACCTCTGTAACAGAAAGGCTTGTTAAGATTGTACTTGAGGATACTATAAAAGTAGTAGTGGATCATGCACAGGCAAAGAAGAAGTCAAAAGTTGATACAGGATTGTTTGAGTGCATTTATAAAGCATCTAAAATTGTTGATAAGCCTATTAATAGTTTTGGTCTCAATCTTGTTTGCGAGGGCAAAAAGTTGGCACCAAGTAAAGTTGCTTAGTATTGAATTGAATTATTAAAATAATTTATAAGCATTAATTATAATATAAATCATAATGCAAGTCAGATCAGCGACTAAAACCTTCCGACAAGCTGTCTTACTCTTATCTCTAGCCTTAGCTTTATCTACCGTAGTACTCTTAGCATCAGGCTTCCAGACCTGTGAAACTGCAAATCTGAGGTTTGCAATGGTGCTAATATTCTTAGTTTACTCAGTTGTTTTCGTAATGATGCTTCTTCAGTTTATTGGATTAGTATCATGCTTAAAAACGATTCCTAGAGCAATCATGGGTTTTTACTTTAGTTTGGTGGGAGTCATGTTTTTTGTTCAAATGATTTTATTTAAGGGTGATGAATGCAGAACATAAGCGCCTGTTTACTATTTCTGGCTTGTTGGGTAGATAGCTCTTTTCTATTTGATAGTTGCTTGCGGGTTAGCTAGATGGGGCTCTTATATATGCTGGTAAGCTGAGAATCATGATACTATGGCAAAGAAAGCAGTTGAAGAATATATGAAACAAGCTAAAAAAGGTCAATTAATGATGATTGAAAATGATGATAAAAAAGTACCTCTGCTTTCAAAGAGTAGTTCAGAGAATGAATCATATGCGTCAGAGTCATCAGATGAAGATGAGGAACAGAATAAAAAGGGTAAGAAACTACCCAAGCAGCTGGCAATCGGAAATTGAATTATATGATTCTAAATCTATTTTAACTTCCTAAACTCTCACTTTCTATTAGATTTTGAATTTTGGGGTTTTGGGGTTTTGGGGTTTTGGGGTTTTGGGGTTTTGGGGTTTTG